GGATGAGAACAACTTTAGGGAAAGCAAGGTTATGCGAAATTCAAGGAAAACGTCCGCTTAACTCATATCATTGTGGCAAAATTCCTCTACCAGTCCTTTATCACCTTAGATGAAATAGGGTGAATACATCTCATTATCTTCTTACATTGGTTAATATATAGACAGAGTCTAGATTACGAATGATTTAAGTTAATATTCTATGATTTACCGTAAGCCATAATTTTCATGAGATGGATATCTACGGGCTAGGGTTTTCGGACTGTCTAAGGTTGTATTTTTCATTTTACTCTGAAGAGGACTCGCAGATATAGAAAAGGGTTGATCTCGTTGTCTCAACTTGGTCTTGTTGTCACGGAGACTTAGTAGAACGAACCTAGTCCGAAGTCGTCTTTTATAGTAGTTGTCATGATTCACAGCATCAAACAATGGACTTAGTACATTCTCAAACGTTTGGCCGGCATCATCAGTGAATTTTGCCATTCTTCATACCAAACTACGAACACGTCAGAGACAAGTGAAGTCAATACCTCGACAAACGTTCTGCCGAATATGGTTACATTAACACTCCCCTTTCTGCCACTTCACTTGTCTCTGGCGAGTTCGTAGTTTGGTGCGGAGAATAGCAGCACTGACTGATGATGCCGAATACGATGCCGGCGAAACGTTTGAGAATGTATCAAGTCCACTGTCTGATGCTGGGTATCATGACAACTACTATGGCAGACGATTTCGGACTAGGTGCGCTCTACATAGTCTTCCTGAGGACAAGCCCAAGTTGCGACAACGAGGTCAACCCACTTCGAATGATTGTAAGTTGAATTTTCTTACAATGACATGAGTAAGCATCACTTTTTCATTGAATTTCACCTTGCTTCCTAAATTATATTCTTCTTCAGGATGGACTGTAGTTTAGATATCTCCTAGGTGACAAGGTAGAAGTGAATTTCAAGGGAGTCCGGGCTTTTCCCATTTCGCATCTGTGTTGTGGACGGGTCGGCAAATCAGAGTTGTATTTGCGTTGTCAACTTCCTATATTACTTATTTTTCATTCTATAAGTGATGAGACCCAGGAAAGGTCGAAATGCAGTCCACCTTGAATAAGACTACACTTTGGGAAGCAAGGTCATTCGAATTCAATGGAAAAATGAGGCTTAATCATATCATTGTGGGAAAATCAAATAACCAGTCCTTCACCGCCTTAAACAAAACAAAGTGAATATATCTCATATAAGTTTCTTTCTTATTGCATTATTATTCTAAATGCAACTTTTAAAACGGCGAAACACAACTTTTCAAATGTCTACTTATGAATACATTATATGCTCTGATTAATCTATTATTGACCCTTTAAATAACTTCCTTTTATATGAAATGCCTAAGTTTTAAGCTAGTTTTCCTAATTTTTTCAGGTGTGACCAAGATATTTTGACAATGCCTTTAAAGGGGGAGAGTGGTGCTCAACCAATTTAGTTCGCCCTATCATTTTAAATAATATATAGAGCCTGTAACAGGTTTCATGGTGCCAAATAAAAATCAGAACCAACTTAATTACTTTTCGAAGATATAAAGACTAAGGTGGTGTTTTTGCAGTCTCCTTTCGATGGATAGAAACAAGTTGACTTCGTTTTCGCAACTTAGTCTTGTTGTTAGGACGACCTAGTTGGACGCACCGTAACCAAATTTCATTCTGAATATGATCAT